GGAGCAGTAAAGACAACCTGACGAGGCTTGACGATGCATGGCACAATGGAGTTCTTAGTTAAGAAGTCTGACTTTGACTGCTGATCCTCTGAGTCGAAAGGTCACCATTTGCTCAGGTTTTCTCATCGTTAAAATGGTTGTGCCGCTTGCAGGAAAAGTCATAATGATAAATTCGAAAAGATGTGCATGATGTGCTGATCCTTACAACCTGGGATAATAGTCTCTGTAAATACTCAGTAAAAAACCTATCAGCCCAGGGCTTCCCTGGTGGCGCAGTGGTTGAGAGTCCGCCTGCCGATGCAGGGGACAAGGATTCATGCCTCGGTCTGGGAAGATTCCACATGCCACGGAGTGGCTGGGGGCCTGTGAGCCATGGCCACTGAGCCTGCGCGTCCGGAGCCTGTGCTCCGCAACGGGAGATGCCCGCGGACCGCAAAAAAAAAAAAAAAAAAAATCCGCCGGAAACTTGATGTGTAGCTGTACTCTTGTGCATCACATGTGGTAATGGAATAGAAAATTACTGGAAAAAATCTTTTACACTGTTAGAAGAATCAATTCAATGCCCTAAAGCTGAAGAATTTTGAGTTAGAGTGTTAACACCTTATTTAACGGTTTGAATACTGACTTCTCACCAATTTAAAGGAAATGTAATAATGTATCTGCTGCTTTTTTGATGTCAGAGTCAAACTGTAATACAGAACCATTGAATCCACTGCTATTTGAATGAGTCAGTATTTTCTAAATATCTTAGCTGATGATTGCTGACTGATTGATTTGGCTAATTATGTATCTGATTCTCATACGCCTGCTATATTGAATAAAAACAACGGTATGGGAAATTTTAATTGTGACCATCCAACACATAGTTTAAGGTATAGAAACTATGATAGTTAAATTGATTAATTGGTGAATCATAAACCATTTGAGGACTATACTTTTCAAGTGAGCTTGGTAACAAAAAATTGTCTGCTGAATTTTGTACTCCATAGACATCCTTAAAAACATAAATCCAATTCCTCAACCAGAACATAGTAATTCTATTTCTAATACCAAAAAATCTCCAACACAGTGTGATGACATTGCACAGAAAAATCTCTTTAGGAGAAATTGCACTAGCAGTATTAAGACTCCTTCAGATCGCCCAATGGGCATCAGATATATCTGCCACATCAATTCAGGAAACTTGAGCTAAAATACAAGACAAAAATAGTTCTGTCACAATATTGTAGATAGGGCTGTGTTAAAGGACACAAGAGGTATGCTCAGGGCCACTGAGAAAAATATGTGTGGGGAATGTTTCAGAAGTCCCATTATAGAGGCTGTTGTCAGGGACAAAACAGTCTGTATTCTATTAGTATTATTTTATTTTGATTTTACAACCAGTATAGCCTGAGAAAATACACGTGTATTCGTACATGTTATGTTGCACACGAGAAAATGAGGCCCAAGGAGGTGGTAACTTTTTCAATACTATCACTACTCTTATTGGTAAAAATAAGCTGTAAATACTATTTTAGAAAAAAACTCCTTGATATAGTGAGTATCATAGTTGAAAAAGGTCTAGAATTAGAAATATCAGATCAATTCGGAGAGGCTATGTTTGTGAAGAATGAATGAGCCAGGAGCTGATTAAATAAATTAAGGTTCATCCATACAATGGAATTTTTATGCAGCTGTTAAAAAGAATGTGGCAGATACGTTAAAAAACACTATAGATAAATCAACGTGGAATTCTAAAATATGTTCGGGTAAGACACAGGAAGGCAGGAAAAAGAAAAGAGAGAAAATAAACAGAAAATCAAAAAATAAAATGGAATCATAAACCCTAACGTATCAATAATTTCACTAAATATAAATGGTCTAAATACATGTTAAAAAACAGAATTTGACAGAGCAAGTAAAAAATTATCAAACTATATTTTGTCTACAAGAAATTCTCTTCAAATATAATGAGATAGGTAAATCGAATGTTAAACAATGGGAAAATATATATCATGCAAACATTAATCAAAAGAAAGCAGGAGTGGCTATATTAATATCAGATAAAATAGACTTCGGAGCAAAGAAAATTTCCAGAGGCAGAGAGGAACTTTACATAATGATAAAAGGGTCAATCCACCAAGAAAGCATGACAATGATAAATGTGTATCATAACAACAAGTTTCATATCCTTAAAACCTGTTTGATAGCAGTATTTTTGTACAATTAAAGATAGCTGTTTAGAATATCTTACTGATAATTCTGTATATTTATAATAACAATTTTATGTTTTCTTTGGCCTTTCATGGTTTTAAAAATTGACATTTTTCCATTACCGAACAACTTTATCAACCCTTTCTTCTCTGGTATAGAGTCACCAGTTAGGCAGATAGACACTTTCAGTAGTAAATCTGTTAAGAGGTTTAAATTAGCACATGTAAGGGAAAGTATATAGTGTATTTTGAGAAGCTTTATGAGAGAGAGAGACAGACTTTTCCCTAACAACTTTGCTCAGTGTATACTGAGTTACACACCAATAATGCTATGTAACAAACTACCCCAACACTTGATGACTTAAAACAGCAATCAGCTATTGGCAGAGATCTGTAGGTCAGTAGGCTTGGCTGATTTAGGCTGGCTCAGGTGAGCAGCTCTTTTTTGGGCTGGAACAGCTTGAGTAATTTTGCTTCTAAACACTGGTCTGTAGGTTGTCCGGGGTGGCTCTGCTCACATGTCTTTCATTTCCCTTGGAACAGTTGGCTAGTTAGAGAATGTTTTTCACATGGAAATGGCAGAGGCACAAGAGAAGAAGAGAAAAGATGTGTTATCATAAGGTCTAGTCTTGGAACTGGCACACTGTCCCTTCTGCTCATACGGCATTAGGTAAAGCAAGTTATGTGGCCAAGCTCAAACGTAAGGGGCAGGTGAATATAAACCCCTTTTAGAAGAATTGCAAACTCCCTAAGCAAAGGATGTAAATACAGGGAAGTGTGAAGAATTGGGGCCAGTGGTGAGATTTAGTAAGACTGTTAACTGTGCTATCAATCCCGCTTGCCAAACAATAGACACACACACACACACACACCTGACCAATGTCTTCCCGCTAAGTTTGGGTGGATTTTTGATTTACTTGTTTTTATTTTGTATTTTTAAAATTTTATTTATTTATTTATTTTTAATTAATTAATTTTTTTGGCTGCGTTGGGTCTTCATTGGTGTGCGTGGGCTTTTCTCTAGTTGCCGTGTGTGGGCTTCTCACTGCAGCGGCTTCTTTTGTTGTGGAGCATGGACTCTAGGCCTGTGGGCTCAGTAGTTGTGGCTCACGGGCTTAGTTGCTCCACAGCATGTGGGATCTTCCCGGACCAGGGCTCCAACCCATGTCCCCTGCATTGGCAGGCAGCTTCTTAACCACTGCGCCACCAGGAAAGTCCCAACTTGTTTTTAAATGAATATGAAACTCAAAATCATGAAAGATGATGACATTGAACTCCCATATTTTTGTTTGCTACATACTTCAGAGAGATAGGCATAATCAGGAAAGGGTGGGCAGTGGTAGGGGCTATGCATCTAGTGGTAAAATAAATTTTATACTATATGCCTGGAGTTTCCCTTGTCCACTTGGTCAATAAGTGTGTATAATTCCTCCCCACTTTTCTTTCTCTTTTGAGGCTGTCATAAAATCATGGCATGATTAAGCTAGAAGAATCCAGACACTTTAAAAGTGATCCAGTCCTTGGGCTTCCCTGGTGGCGCAGTGGTTGAGAGTCTGCCTGCCGATGCAGGGGATGTGGGTTCGTGCCCCAGTCCGGGAAGATCCCACATGCCACGGAGTGGCTGGGCCCGTGAGCCATGGCCAATGAGCCTGCGCGTCTGGAGCCTGTGCTCCGCAGCGGGAGAGGCCACAGAAGTGAGAGGCCCGTGTACTGAAAAAAAAACAAAAACAAAAAAAAAAATTGATCCAGTCCAAAAATATTCAATCTCTGTTCCTCATATATATGGATTATATAATCCATATAATCTTGGATTATAAAGTGGGAGGGTAGATATTTTAGGACCCTTCTCCTACTTGATAAGAAAAGATCTATTTTAGCTGTTTTGTCTATTGGCCTCTCATGTAATGTTTCATGACATAAAATGGTTGGAGCATCTTTGATTTTACTAAAATTATTCTCTCTCTCTTTTTTTTTTTTTAACAGATGAGGAAAATGAGGCCCTGAGATGTGGAGTGACTTATTTCTACACTACCAACATGTAGGTTAGACTTGGGATTCCTGGCTTCTGTACTCGATTAGGTTTCCTATACAACAAATTGCCACAGACCTAGTGGCTTAAAGCAACGCACATTATCTCAAAGTGTCTGTGGGACAGAAGTTCGGGAATGGCTTAGCTGGGTCCTCGGCAAGTCTGCAATTAAGGTGTTGTCCAAGGCTTCATTCTCATCTGGAGGCTCAACTGGAGAACGGTCTACTTTCAGGATCACTCAGATTATGGCAAAATTCACTTCTTTATGGCCGTAAAAGGTCAGCTTGCTTCTTTGACCAGTAATAGGCAGTGAGAGACCCTAGCAAGAGAGGTGCTACACTTATGTAATCATGTATTTACCATCGCCTTTCGCACGTTCAACTGATGAGAAGCAAATCACCGTTTTGCCCACACTCAGGGAAGAGGATTATACAAAGACATGAAGACCTGAAGGTGGGGTCATGGAAGCCACCTTAAAACCTGTCCACCACCAGTACAATAACTGTTTTAGCTGCCAAAATATTAGTAGGTGAGAAGGACACTATAGTGGTTTAAAATCTGTCTAATGTTCAAAAAAGTATTCTCTCCTTTTACTCTACTCCCTTGAATCTGGACTGGACTTGGTAATTTATTTCTAATAAACTAGAAGATGGTGGAAGAGATGGTGTGTGACTTCTGAGACAAAAGGCATTGTGATCTTCTCTTTGCTCTCTTTCTTCGATGATTCACTCTGGGGGAAAACAGCTGTTATGTCACAAGGACATTAAAGCAAGCCGGAGGAGTGGTCCATGTGGCAAGGAACTGAGTAACCCTGTCGAAAACCAGAAAAAGGTTTCTGCCAACAGCTATATGAGAGCCAGCCCTCCGCTGACAGTCACGTGAGTCAGCCGTTTCAGAAGAGGATTCTTGAGCCCCAGTCGAGCTGTTAGATTTCTGCAGCCCCAGCCAGTATACCCTCCTGAGAGAAGCAGAGCCAGACCACTCAGTGGAGCCTCTCCCGAATTCCTGAGCCACCAAAACTGTAAGATCCATAAATTTTTTTACTTTAAGTTACTAAATTTAGGGGTAACTTGTTACTCAGTTAATAGAGAATTAATATAGATATGAAGTGCTTTACTGTCTGATTTCACATCAATCAAGGAACCTCCCTACTGTGCATAACGGGAGACTGTTTCTGACAGACGTTTTTATATTTATGAAAATCCTTACAAAATCTTCTGCTTATTTTCCCCTATAACAGGACACCAACCCAAGATATAAATGTCCACTTTTGTTAGCATCTAAGAATTCTTTTCAGAAAAAAGCGAAATGTCCATGCTCTGTCCTAAAGCATTGATTGAAGGGGTAATTTCCCCTGGAAAAGGCTGTGCTGTAGTCAACATTCACATCTCAGAGCTGACATAACCCTTTTCCACTCCGTATTCTAGAGGGTTTCCAGCAGCTAAATCAACACATTTTCTGCAGAGAAATGTTCCAAAGATAAAGTAAGAAAGATGAGGACACTTGTTCTTAGACTCTTCCAGGTGAGTGAAGCCTCAGTGTGGATTCAAGTGAATTTGCTTGGAGGCTTTATTCAGAGAAAACAGTCAAAAGATCAACCCTTCATGGGGGTTATAACCTTAAGAAACTTAAAAGAAATGGCTTGTCTCTCCCTCCAGCTGTGAGCATAGGAACAAAGCAACAGAAAAGTTTATGAAAAAAGTTTCTAAAATTTATTTATTTTATTTATTTATTTTTGCCTGTGTTGGGTCTTCGTTGCTGCGCGCGGGCATTTCTCTAGTTGTGGCGAGCTGGGGCTACTCTTCGTTGCGGTGCACGGGCTTCTCATTGCAGTGGATTCCCTTGTTGCAGAGCACGGGCTCTAGGCACACGGGCTTCAGTAGTTGTGGCTCGTGGGCTCAGTAGTTGTGGCTCAGGGCCTCTAGAGCGCAGGCCCAGTAGTTGTGACGCACGGACTTAGTTGCTCCATGGCATGTGGGATCTTCCTGGACCAGGGCTCAAATCCCTGTCCCCTGAATTGGCAGGCGGATTCTTAACCACTGCGCCACCAGGGAAGTCTCAAGTTTATCAAATTGAATTGATTTTCTTAACAGGACTGAAATAATCTGGTCTAAGTGAAAAAATAGACTTTCTTCGTTAGGGCTGAATTTAAAAGCGCAGACTTTTTTGGTATCAAAATAACTGGCTTTACAATTGGATGTTAGCTCTGCGTGGCAATTATCCTTTACTTCTTTACTCCTCGGATCCTCTTGTGTTCCTTTTTATCTGCCATGCATTACACTTTTATAATTAGGAGCTGATTAAGCCATGGTAGACTATTTTTACTTTTTCACTTCAAAAATTATTGTAGAATGCTTTTTTCCCCAATTGTCTATTTCACAAATAGCCTGATTATTGGTATTGGTGTTTCAGTGGTGAGTGAAATCAACTAATGTATATTCCATGGTGGAGGAAGCAAAATGCCTATTGGGTCAATTTAATCCATATTAAATTGTGATATTTGTGCCTTAAAGGGGTAAATTTAACAAGGCCTGGATTTAATTTATCAAGTATACTGACGTAGGTAAATAACAGCATGGAGCCTGATGCATCAGAGTTGGAAGTGTAATGAGATCAGTAGGCAAGCCCTCCATAAAATTACTTGGGGCGTAGGAGAATCCAGACATAGCAATTATACTTAGCAAGAAGAAGCAGTTCTAGAGTGTGAAGCAATTAGTCAGATTTACAATCTCAGAGGAGAGAAGGGAAAATTACTTAAGGTAAACTCAGAAGCATCTTAAATCATCGTTACACTGTATTGATCTCAGTTGAAAGTGACTGGCTAGAAATGCTTGGTTTATCTTTACCATTAAATATTTCCATGGTGTTTGACTAACACCAAGAATATATAGCCTGGCATTTGAACTATAGTGAATTATAAGCACCTAGGCTTTTGCTGTGTGTGCATGTCTTTTGGAAGAAGAGTCTCAGAACATTTAAGAGAGTTGATGTTCATCTATAAGCTAGTTGTATTTTTTAACATTCCTGATAATACACCAGAGTAAAGGGTGGGCAAGTACATTTAAAGAGAATGAAGTATACGTGGCAGTGGTTTTAAGTGAGAAATAGGCTGCACTATTTTAACTGGTTTTATATCAATACATGTCATTGTCCATTTACTTATTAAATGGTGCTTATTATTAAGTGTATAAGTGTAAGGAGAGTGATTTTAAAAAGCCGTGGTCCCTATAGAATCTCTCTCTCCCTTTACCATTTCCCATAAAGGGATGGTTGATGGGGAAGGAAAATCTGAGTTTTAAAAGCTTCCAGGATTTGGTTCTTTATATTGCTAAAGGTGAACACTAGGGTTTACACCTCTTTGATATTTTTTTTTTAATTTTTTTTTTTTTTGCGGTACACGAGCCTATCACTGTTGTGGCCTCTCCCGTTGCGGAGCACAGGCTCTGGACGCGCAGGCTCAGCAGTCGTGGCTCACGGGTCCAGCCGCTCCGCAGCATGTGGGATCGTCCCGGACCAGGGCACGAACCTGTGTCCCCTGCATCAGCAGGTGGACTCTCAACCACTGTGTCACCAGGGAAGCCCCTCTCTTTGATATTTTTTGTATTCATGTTTGGGAAACACTTTAATGAGTCCTCATTTATGAAAATAGAAGGTATTAGAAACAATAAGAAAAATGCAAAGGTTTTTTTGTTCACACATATCGATGCAAAAATCTTAAAGTTACCTAGTAGCATCCAGCAGCACATGAGAAAACAATACATCATTATCAAGTAGGCTTCTTTCCAGCAATCTAAGGATGGCTCAGTTTTAGGCAGCTTGGACGGTATTTAATAGACCAAATGTGAATCCAAAAGATCATTGTCCGTGGATATTGAGATCGCTTTAATATAAAACTCTACACCCGTTCTTCACGGTGTGCTGGATATATTATATTTGCTCTCCCAGATCGTTCTTCACTCTGCTCTCTGCCCCAGGAGGCTGGCCTGTATGGATTCCATCAAAGGGCTGTTTCAATCTCTGGGGTCTAGCTGGGTTCAGGAGGAGCTCATGCAGTGAGAAGAGACTGAGGTCAGAGTATTTAGTGCCTGTTTTCCTCTCTGAAGCAATGCGTCCAGCTACTTGTGTGCCTCAGAAAAATGTCCCTGCGACCCCGAAGTTGGCTTTTCTATATGACTTTCTCCCTCTGTGTTCTGGACAGTGCTTCATTTCCTTGTCCCTTCTATCCTTGGAATAATCCCAGTTTTATTGAAATAGGCTTTGAGGTTCCTTGATACTCCAGCCTCACCTTAATAAATAGTCCCTTTGTTAAAATAAAATTACCCTAATTTCAGTATGCCACCTGTTTTCCTTGTGTGACCTTGATCGGTTCATATGGGAAACTTCCTTAACATGATCAAACATTGTGGTATATCAATAAAGTAAACAGGCAAAGAAGGAACGTATCTGGTCTTTTGTCTGAGGTTCCTGGCACAGAGCTGCAAAAACCCTTGGAATTGCCTGAGTGATAGGAGTGTCTTTGTTATGCTAATGGAGTGACTCAAGGTGGGTCCCTAGGTAGCTTCAGGATGGAGTCTGGTCCGCGAAAGACCAAGCACATGATTAAAGGGTTGGGGACTCTGAGGTAGCCTGACAATGTAGGAAGCAGAGAGGGGCTGGAGATTGAGTTCAATCACATGGTCAATGACTTAATCATTCATGCCTAAGTTATGAAACCCTGATTAGAAGCTCTGTGGAACTTCCTGACTGGAGAGTACATTAATGTGCCTGGAGGGTGACATGCCCTGACTCCATGTGGAGGTGGCATGGGGACTCTGCATTCTCTTCCAGTACTTCACCCTATGAGTATCCTTTGTAACAAAGCTGTAATTTTAAGTACAGAACTCTCCTGAATTCTGTGTCATTCTAGTGAATTATCAAAGCTGAGGGGGTTATGGGAGCCCTCCAACTTACAGTCAGTTAGTTGGAAGTCCAGGTTGCCTGGCAACCCCCTAAAATGCAGCTGGCATCTGATGCAAGCACAGTCCTGAGAAGGGTTAAGCCCTTAAAGTTGTGGGGTCTGATGCTAACTCCTGGTACTTAGGGTTAGAATTGTATTGCAGTACATCCAGTTGTGATGGAAGTGAAACAGAACAAACATATACCCAATCAGGAGACAGCATCATGTTTAATGGTAAAACTTCAAAAATATTTCTACTAAGATGGGGATATCCACTATCATATTAATATTTTCATTTTTAGTAATACAAATTTATTAAGGCTGTGAATTTTCACAGAGTAAAACATTGGTTTTGCTGAATCTTGTAAGTTCTAATATGTTTCATACTTATTTTTACAAAATACTCTTTCTCTTCCCTGGAACACTCTTTTGGTTTTACCAGAATTTGTGTCTCCCAAAGTGGAATTCCTAAGACCCCCCAGTAAACCCTTTTCTTATTTGTAGCCTTCTGTGTTTCTTCTTGGTCGACAATAGGTTACCTTAGGGTTTGCTCTTGGTGTTGTACAATCTATGGTATCGGACAAATGTGTAATGACATATATCTATTACTGTAGGATCACATGGGGTGTTTTCATTGCCCTAAAAATCCTCTGTGCTCTGCCTATTCATCCCTCCATCTAACCATAACCTTGGCAACTCTGATCTTTGTTGATTGTAGAGTTTTTTGTTTTTGTTTTTTGGGGGGTGGGTGTGGGGTAGGGTTAAATGAAATGATGAAATGTTTACCAAATCCAAAGCAGTGCGCCAGGCACATAGCAAATGGTCAAAAAATTTCAGCTTCTTCCTTTTTCTCAATTTCCTAAATATACTCTGAGATCTGGCTTTTATTTACAGACATTTAAAGGCTACTCTGTTTTTTTAGATTCTCTTTATATAAGGACTCAATTATGGAAAATGACTTTTATTATATTTAGCCTATATGAGAAACTAAGAAATAATTTACTGGGTGTAAATTTGGGTAGAAATGGATGTCTTTTTAAAGTTCCCTAACTATAAATCAAATTTATTCCTGGACAGCTATTAGTGATGTTAAAAAACAAAATTCTACTGAATAAATTTGAAGTTCTAATTAACTTTATTCAATGATTTATGAATCAGGCAGCATTCCGTCTAACAACTAGAAGCGAGCTCTGAGGGGTTATACAAAATGAATTTATAGAAAGGAGGGTGGGGCAGGAAGTCACTATTACAAAAAACAAAGTTATTTTGGGCAAGAAATCTTTTCAGGGGAACCCAAGGGCAAGCGTTTTATCATGCAGATTGCCTCTTCTTCCTCTGGGGGGAGATAGAGAGGGCCCATGTGACAGATTACCTTACTGGTGCTGCCCAGAAAATTCCAGATTGGTTAATTAAGATTGCATTTCTAAGGGGCTTCCCTGGTGGTGCAGTGGTTGAGAGTCCGCCTGCAGATGCAGGGAACACGGATTCGTGCCCCGGTCCGGGAGGATCCCGCGTGCCGCGAAGCGGCTGGGCCTGTGAGCCATGGCCGCTGAGCCTGCGTGTCCAGAGCCTGAGCTCCGCAACGGAAGAGGCCACAACAGTGAGAGGCCCGCGTACCGCAAAAAAAAAAAAGATTACATTTCTGGTGAAGGTCGAAACTACAGTTGGGTAAGGTATTAAATCTAGGTTCGGCATCATGGACTTTAGCACAAGTGACACCATTTTAGGTCTGTGGTTTTCACTTTAACAGTGCTATTCTTCAATTTGAGAAGTATATTTACAGAATCTCAACATTTATGGGATGAATACATTGTTATAAATTCACTCTGAGGTATAATGCTTCTCAGATTTTGAAGTTTAAGCTTTTTTTTTTTTTTTTTTTGTCAGCATCAAGTCTTTGATTTTGCTACTACCAAAATGGTCTGGATTATCGTACTCAAAGCCTGGATACTGCTGGCAAGGCAAACTATGGTGAGTACTTTTCGAATCAAATATTCCTGATTTGATGTGCTAATAACCACAGTCAGTCCCTGGCAAAAGGCAAAATTTGTTTCAGTTTTGGTTCATTTTGTACTTTTATTCTTTTTTGGTAGCAAACCTTATACTCTTTTTCAAACAGGTTTATTTTGCCTTATTCTTACTTTCACTGTGATTAAACATGTTTATTCTAAAGCATAAATTCACTAGGCAGTGCATACAAGGAGATATTCATTTTATTCCTATGCAAATTTGTCTTTTTGGCAAAATAGAGTTCTTTCTGGTATTTGGGCCATGTAGGCCAAGTATCATATTGTTCTTTCTTGTAGCAGGAAAATAGATGCACATATTTTCTATAGTAAATTTTCATTGAGTTCACTGAAATCAACTGCTGTACATTTCTGTTTAACAATTTGGAACTTTAAAAGTGCTTTCATGATTTATCTTCTTAATAACTGTGTAAGATAGACAGGGTAGGTAGCGTTGTTGGTATTGTATAAAGAAATTGCAAAATAAAGACTCTGAATGACATATCCAGACTCTAGGAGCTGGAGGATGGGTTGAACACCCAGTCTTTGGCCTTTTGGCACAATGATTTCTCTGCTAACCACTACGCCTCTCTAATTATAACTCAACTAAACTTAGTGACTGTTTATGTCAGAGAAGTTGGGGATATGTGGTTATGTATATTAATTCTGGCATGTCAAATCATAGGGTTGTTTGACTTTTTTTTACTACCCATAGTTGTAGCGAGTTGTGAGAGGTGAGCTTATAATTCTAGCTTTTGCTGTTATAGTAACTGATGACTGTTGACTCACAGCCAGGTTCATTTGCTTAGAATTATTTATTTGGTATAATTTGGTATAATTTATTTGATAAGCGGATTTGTCTTGGGCCATGCTGGCCAGTGTCAGGCAATACAAGATGACTGGACTTGAATGCATCAGAATTTTGTAATTGGAGTTTGTCTAAACAAAAAAAATGAAACAAACAAAGTTAGAATGTTCCCAGCCCTACTGATAAATTATTGTATTCCCAAGAATTTAAGTCAGAAACCAGAAGAAATCTTTCTCTCCAATGAAAGTATGCGGATCCAAGTAATTTCTTGTCAAATTTTCCTGGTATAGGTATTGACAAAAAAGGAATCATTATTCATTGAATAGTATGTGCTTGTCCTTTACTGCCCAGCTCTTTTAAGCCTATCACATTTGCAAAGTCTATATTATTGTCCCATTTGACAGATGAGAACATTGAGACTCAGGGAGATCAATTGCCAGTAATGACAGAACTCAAATTTGAATAGTGTTCTCAAACCAAAGTTCATGCTTTTTCTATTCTCCCAACAATCCTCTCTCACAAACAAATGTCTACAATTTCTGTAATCTCAAAATGTTTGTATTTACAAATCTTATCCCTAAGAGATAATCATTTCTTAAGTAAATTAGACGTTTTTATTTGCCTGAGTAACCAGAAGAACTTTTTCAAAAAGGGAGATAAATTGTAGATTAAAATATGTTCCTTAGACCATTTTGATAATGTCAGACCGTATGAAATAATTGCAGATAATTTAAACCCCATGCTTAACCTAAGTTTGATTTGGAGGTCAGGAATTCCTCTGATAAACTACAGTAGTTGTCCCTGGAGTATAAAAAATTATTTTGCATAAGGGAGGGAGTTCAGCAGGGTTAGTGAAAATTTGCCAGCATAAAAATTTAGAAGGCGTTGACCTGTGTAGCTACATGTGAAGTAGACAGATTTAGTGTATAAAAGATTTGTGTGTTCTACTTATAAATTTTAATTACCATGCACATGATAAAAAGACTCCTAATACTGTAATTTAGAAACCTACATAGATTTATTTTCCCAGAAAAAAATCTTTATGATTCATTGCATGTAACACCTCTCAGAGATCCTCAGTACTTTGCCTCAGTGTACAAAGTTTTTGTTAAAAAAAAAAAGTATAATAACTCATTAAGGATTCATTTTGAATACTGTGTTGCATTTTAAATACTGTTTGGTAAATTCTAGGTTTGACAGTAGTGAAATGATTTAGTTTGGAGTGGGCTCTTCGTCATGCTGAAGGACTGTAGTAAATCAGTTCTATGAAAAACAATTTGAGTGTACTTCACTCTACTAGCTCTAGGACATTCAAAAGCAGTTAAGCCTTTGTTTTACCTCAAAAAAGAATGTTTACTTCATTAGAACAGGTAGAAAAAAACACACTTATGCTTTTTCTTGGTATTTTACTTGAAGATTAATCTTTTTTTTCACCACTGGATCTGTACAAAAACAAATTTATTTGAAAGGAACTAACTGTCATGTGGTATGTGGGTCTTAGTTTTCTTAAAGTGAATAGGAAATGTCTGGGGCCTAAACAATATTTCAGTTTGAGGGTAATGTGTTTTCTGGTTTCTACTCTGTCAGATTCTCACCCTGGTCTCCAGGGAGGCAAGAAAAGATTGTCTATATGACATATTTTGCCTAAAGCAAGTCCTGAAACTAGGATTCATATTATTCACGTGACTGAGTGTTGATTTCCATAGATTTGCCAAGGCTCAGAATACAATCCATTTTCTCAAAAAATGTAACACCTCTCTTTTACAAATGAAGTTGTATTTTGTACAAAATAATGACGGAAAATGGGGAAATAAAGAATGTTTGACTTTGAAACATTTTTTACACATTAAACTACATAGAATCAGGCTTTTAAATGGGCTTGATTTTTTTTTAACTTATTTATTTTTGGAGGTATTGGAAAATTTAGGACTCTGAACACCCTTTTCTGGCCAGATGGAAAGAAACAGCAACAACAATAACAACAACAAAAAAACAAAACCACGTATATAGAAAAATTACTTAGAAATCATGAGGTCTTGTCTCTTTTCAATATCTGAATCAAAATAGTAAAATATAAACTTAGTCTGATAAAGTAAATGAAATATGACTTATTCCATTCCAGATGTTAGTTGCCACTGATAAAAATCTTCTTGAGGGCTTCCCTGGTGGCGCAGTGGTTGAGAGTCCGCCTGCCGATGCAGGGGACACGGGTTCGTGCCCCGGTCCGGGAGGATCCCACATGCCGCGGAGCGGCTGGGCCCCTGAGCCATGGCCGCTGAGCCTGCGCGTCCGGAGCCTGTGCTCCGCAGCGGGAGAGGCCACAGCAGTGAGAGGCCGGCGTACCGCAAAAAAAAAAAACAAAAACAAAAACAAAAAAACTTCTTGAATTGCTGACTGATCTTGCAGAGATGTAAAATCCATGGACTCAGTTGATAAAGATTAATGATGGTATTATAGTTTTCAGAGATTAACAGAAGATCATAATCATATTTTGCTATATGGGGAAGCTTTTTAAAAATAGGGAATATCCCATAATTGCATTCCAAACATAGTAAGTATAAGAACAGACAGTTTTTGTTGTTGTATTTCTTCTTCACATCCAGGGATAAAATAATAGAAAAGTTCTATGAGGTCATGGAAAAGTTTCTACTCTAGAATTAGGTAAAAAAGACAAAATAAGTACCCAAACCATATGATTTATCTGTAGTATAGACAGGAATTGCTTTTACACTACACTATTCATTCTCCAAGGCCTAGTCACTTTGTTGAATTTTTCTGTAATGACTATTACAACTATAATTGCCCTTTATATTGAGAAAAGTCACATCATAATCCCCCCAACAACCTCCCAAACCAATTCCTTGACCTGAATTCCCCATAACTGTTAACATCATTACCAATGGACCACCCTTGACATACTGGAATACCTTTTATAACAATTCTTAAGTTTGATCCTCTATATTCCATAAAATGCCAATTTATGAATATTCTACCTATACAACACCTTCTTAATCCACCTTATTTTCCCCATATTCATTGCCATTACCCTTGTGTAAGTGTAAGTTAAGTTAATTCAGATTTTTTCTAATAGGAAAAATGAACTTCTTCCACCTTTTAGAATTTAAATATCTCACTACCACCATCCCCAAACACACAAATATCAACTCACTCAGAGTTTCAGGATTAAACCCTTCTTGCTGTAGAGCAAAGATAAATAGTTATTTGCTGAATTGGTTCTAATGGACCATCAGAGTCAATTAAGAAAGAACTAGTGGAGAGGATTTTTGCATAGCAGCTAGAAGGGAGGGAAAAAAGTGCTTGAAAAAGCAAGAAGGAAAGTAAAACATTTGAAGGAGGAAGTCATGTCCTAGTCTAAAACGGAGATTAGAGGATGAGAGAGGAGAGAAAAGAGGGCTTTCCAGAAGAAGAGACCAATATTTGCCATCTGGGGAGACGTGGAAAAGAACCCACTGTTAGGGGGCATTGCTGACACACTCAGGGCTCAGGTACAAGATTTGACTCCCATACTGTGCCTTTCCTTGCCACATTGAGGTTTTATGCTATTATTTTTACTGGATGGGGTTTTCCCTTCATCTAGACCCTCACTGAGTGACTATCCAGTAGGAGAGATGCTGCTCTGTTGGACTTTGCTTGGTTTGGTCCTCACCTTAACACCCAGAACATCCTTAGGATCAATAGGGGGCTGATGTGCCTGCTTAGTCTCTAACCTCCATATATACTTGGGGAATTGCTGAACTTAATAACCAGAGACACCAGAACTCCATGGTGTTTAATGATACACTGGAACATGCGTAACTCTTAGAGACAGCTTTGATCATCTCTAATTTATCATCTTTTTCTTTTCCTATTGTTAAAATGTGCATTTATAAAAAGGCCAAATCCTGACTCTCATAAAAAACATAAGATCAATACATGTCAAAGATTTTATTTAACTCATGAACTTATGAGGTAACCAGTTAGATATTAACAACCAGTTCAAAAAATAAATCAAAAAGCAGAGATAGAGGCCATGAAATGATTTTATAGACGGAAGCAAAACCAACTCTTTTTCATAGGGATGGGGCGGGCAGGTGGGGTTAGGGAGGAGAAATGAAATGTCTTTCCATCAGACAGGATTGTCTTGCATGCTAACAGAC